TGCTTATAACCCCAGTGCTAGGGAGGCAAAGACAGGTCTCAATGGCCAGTCAAGCCCACCCTAATCAGCCAGCTAGTCCAAGGCAAAGAGAGACTGCCTCAAAAAAGTTCCCTGTTAACGCACATGCTCAAATGTTAAGTCAAAGAGTGTGCAGGATGCCTTAAGGTCAACCTGCCTGATGGCTGGTCCCCAGCAGACCAGGCCACGTCTAAGTCATTACTAGCTCTGCTAATCCGGGTCTCAATATTCCTTAGTGACAAAGCCAGTTCCTCTGGTCCTAGACCAACACTGCAGCCCTATGACAGTCACATACCCACTGACAGCAGAGTGGACTCTCTCCCTGGCTCTGCTCTGTATGGTGAACCAGACAGGCTCTCCCAGGGCCTCTCAGATGACCACACAGGCCCCAGACCAGGTGCACAGCAGGGATAAGGGAAGAAACCAAAGGCGGGCCTAGGTCAGCAGCCATGCTCCTAATCCTGGCAGGCCAGCCAGCCTTCTTGCCAGAGGCTTCCTTCCCAACAGCAGCCTCACTGTGTGCCCAGGTTACAAAATGGAAAAGGGGTTTCTAAAGAGCTCCTTCCTGCCCGGGATGTGGCTATCAACGGGGGCTGGGTGTCAATCACTACACTCTCCAGCACCTGGCTCTGCTTTCTAAGCAAATATGTAGGTGTTGGAAGCAGTGAGATCTCACCCACAGTCTGGCAAAAAGCAAAGCCATCTTGGCCAGCTCCTGATGCTAAGGGCTACTACATCTGCTTTCTTCAGTGGCATGCATGTCTTGACAAGAATGCCTGGAGGCTCAGACACACTTTGGAGACCCCTGGATACACCCAACAACCAAACAGGATCTGTCAACCTGGAGGATTTGCATGAATGGAAGCCAGCCTAGGTGAGGTAGTTAAGAATAAGTGCAATTCCTGAAGAGGACTGAGTTTGGTTCTCAGCACCCACACCAGGCAGTTCACACCTGTAATTCCAGTTCCAAAGGCTCCGACACCACTGAATACTACAGACACTACATATGCACATACATACATACATACATACATACATACATACATACATACACACACAAACACTTTAACAGATCTAAAAACACAGGAGTGGGGATAAAACTCAGTTTGGGAGAGAGCCTTTTGATCCCAGCACCACATAAACCCCGTGTGGTGGCACACTCCTGTAACCCCAGCACTAGGGAGGTAGGGACAAGAAGATCAGGGGCCAAGGTCACTGTCAGTTACACAATGAGTTCGAGGCTACATGACACTATGCCTCAAAAACAAACAAACAAACAAAAACAACCAATAGGGTTTGTGCATGCAGGAGTTTTCAGAGTCTTAGAAGCACCCTAAAGTATGGCTTTTGTCTGCTACCAATGGTCACCCAGGCCTTGGTCTTCCACCAGCCCTGTACAGATGGAAGACACAGGTTCAAAAAAGGGCCTCCAAGGCCAAACAGCCTACGGGAGGAGGTACTGGGTAAGAAATGATGGATAGCTCCACTTACTTTCCAGCACTGATAAAGGATCCAAAGCCCCAACAGGGGTCAGGCAAGAATGGACAGCAAAGTATTTTAGTATCCCCTGCCTCAGCCTATCTCCAGTTCCAGTGAGGAAGGGTCTCAGGGAGAACACAGCAGCACAGCTGGACATGGCGAGGTAATACCTGCAATCCCAGTACTCGGGAGGTGGAGCCAAGAGGACCAGGAGTTCATGGCTAGCTTCAGATACAAGCAAATTCAAGGCCAGCATTGTCTACACAAGAGTCAGCCTCAAACAAAACTCAATCTGACTCAAGAAATACAGTTTTATCTAACAAGTGACACCATGGAACATGGTGAATGAGGGCCAGAGGTGGGAACACAGGAGCTTGAGGGTTAGTGAGGAGGCATGGCTGTCTCTGGGGAATAAGAAGGGATGGGCTCTGGTAGGGACTGGCCATGACCTGACATCTCTTTGCTGGCCCAGTGATAACAGACCAAAGTCAGGGTGAAGGTAGGGGATGGGAGGGGAACCCCCCGCCCTGCACTCAGAGTTTAGTAGGATGATTCTGGGTGAGGGCAAGGTTCACCCATGGGCCATTAGGCTTTGGGGAGCCTGTGGTTTGGGTAATTTTTAAACACCATTAGCTACTAGTCATGGGTCAGCAAATCAGCCTGCACAAGAAGCCACAGGCACTTGGGTGTCTGAAGTTCTAAAGGGGAGGACCCTGGCCTGGTCTTATGAGGCACATCTATAGACTCCTGAACCTTGGAGGAGCAGCAGCCCCTGAGGTATGGAAGGACATGGTCTGTCCAAATCCCTGGCTCTGCAGCTTGGGTCCCAGGCATCAGTGTGAGGAACTTGTGATCTCTAGGACTTGCCTATCCCTTTACTACCTCTCCACCTCCACCCCCAGCTCCGCATCCGCTACTGCGATGACCTAGAATGTGCTCCCAAGGCCCCTGGCCCAGGGTAGAACTGAAGCCTGATCTTCTTTCTAACCATCCCAGCAACACTCTCTTCTGCCAGCTGAGTATAGTAAATGCTTGTCTGCAGCATCTACTAGGCCAGGGGCGGGGAGGTGGAGCAGCCTGGTAACAACACCAGACACCCTAAAGGAAACATAAAGGGTACCTCTCCAATGTCCCACCAAGGCCCTATACAGTATGAGCATCTACCTGAAGCAAGGAGACTATTAGGCAAAGGGTCAGAGGCATTCAAGCTTAGAGGATACAGGATAGGACACTCCTGAGACACACCTGCCCACCCTGCGCTACAGAACTGAGCTGTGTCCCCATCTCCACAACAGTCACCTGCCCCAAGCAGCCACGTCAGGTTCCTGCTCCAGTCTCCTCCCAAGTGCCTGGCCATATCCTGAGCAGTCTCATCAAGGCTCTAAGTAACAGCCCTCTTTTGTGGCCTCAGGCAAGAAGGAGTAAAGTCAAGGACTGATCTGATCCTTTATGACAGTCAGCTCTGGGCAGGCGTCCCCAGTTCAATGGTGCCTTTCATGGGCTTCTCCCCAGTCCTACCCAGAGAACCTCAGGCTTCCATTAGACTTTGGCATGCCAGGAACCTACACACACCCCAGGTCTGTTAGGCACCAGCACCCCCTCTTCCCTACACATGCCAGTCAGGCCTTGAGGTGTACTGTTCCAACTACCCAGAATGTTGCAAACGGAGGATCAAAAGTTTAAGGCCCATCTGGAAGACAGTGAGTTCAAAGCTAGCTTACAAAATAAGATGCTGTCTCAAAACAAGAAGTTTACAAAAACAAAAAACAAAAAAACAACACAGTTGGAAGGACGGGGGCTATAGCTCACCTAATGTGCATGAGGTCCTGCACTCTATCCCCAACACCCCATAAACCAGGCACAGTGGTGCATACTTATAATCCCAGCAGTTGGCAGGCAGGAAACAAACAAATAGGGCTGGGGGTGCAACTCAGAGCACTTGCCTAGCATATGCAAAGCCTTAGGAGCATTCCCCAGTACTAGAAACATGTCAAGTAACTGCCAGCAGCAGCAGTTCCAAGGTCAGCTCCTCAGAGAGGCCCAAAGGCCCACCTTCCCTGACTGTCACCTCCCCTCTTCCCCAGCGCCTTTTCCCTGGGAGTAGAGGGTGGTATCTGATCTCTGGACCAGCCTGCAATAAACTGTGAGTGCTCAATGGACCACTGCTGGTGGCAGCCTCTATGACAAAAGCAGTGGCCTTCCAAAGTAGGGGTCAAATGATCTGCTGTCCCAACAAACTGTCCCCAGACAATCGGCAAGCATAAAACTACGGTAAGTGGGCCAGAGAGATGACTCAGCAGGTAAAGACACCATCCTGACAACCTAAGCTGGATCCCAGGGACCCACAAGGCAGAAAAAGACAGGACTGACGCCTGCAAAGTTGTCTTCTAGTCTCCAAGCACAATCCACTGCTCACGCCTTTAATCCTAGCACTTGGGGGGGGGGGGCAGAGGCAAGCGATCTCTGAGTTCAAGGCCAGCCTGGTCTACAAAGAGCGTTCCAGGACAGCCAGGGTTGTTACACAGAGAAACCCTTGGGGTGGGGGTGGGGTGCTGAAGAGATGGCTCAGAAGTTAAGAACACTGGGTTCAATTACCAGCACCATACAGTGGTTCACAGTGCTTGTAACTCCTGTTCTAGGGGATCTGATGCCTTCTTCTAACCACTACAGGGATCAGGCACACACATGGTGAACAGACATATATACAGGCAAAACATTCATATAATTAAAAATAAAGATATAAAAAAGTTTCAAATAAATAAATAAATAAATTGAATAAATAAAACTACAGGCTACAGTGAAGTTAAACATGGTGGGGGCTCACCCAGTACTGTCACCCTAGCCCTCAGGCCCAAGGGAGCTGGGGTCAGCCTGGGTACCAGCTATCCAGACAAGCAAACAACCCTGCAGGAACAAAGCTAGCTCCTCAAGGGTCTGTCACATGACTCACGGGTCTTCCAATTATCTTCCCTCTGCAGGCAGGGTAGGCACCACGGGAACCTGGGAAGGCCTGGTTCCCTTCTCTGCTTATCCAGGCAGGCTTTCTCAGGATAGTCAAGGGACCAGAAGCAGCAACAATGCTAGCTGCTATCCCATGAAAAAGTGCAAAACAGGGATTCCTAAGGTGAGGCAGAGCCCTTAAAGCAATGAAAGCAAACATAGGAGGAGCTGCCAAGGGCCTTTCCCAGGAAGACTGACTGGAAGCCTGATCCAAGAGGTAGCAGCGCATCCTGTAGCATGTACTGAGGCAAACCCTGCAGCGGGGCACTGTGCACCCAATCACCAGGTCTCAGTGGAGCCTCTCCTCAACGCTGGTGGGATCAGGGTAAAGAAAAACAGCAGGGCTTTGGAGGGCAGACTGTCAGCTCATGTTAGACTGGCTGAGGACCCCAAGTCAGGGGCCCTCTAGAAATGAAGGTAACCTGGCTATGCCTCAGTTTTTCCCACTGTAAATTCAGTTACAGAGCATGTTGGGGGGCAAATGGCAGCATGAAAACATGGACTGAACCTCAAATGCCAGGCACAATGGCTCTTTTACTTGAGCCTGGTCTGTGACTGCACAGGAAGTATAAGGAGTTGATTTTAGTTGACATGCAAGACTTCTTAAAAAAGAAAAAAAAAGATTCAGAAAAATCACTATGGAACCTGGTGGTCCGGTCCTGGTTGGGGACTCAGGGCTGCAGCAGAGGTGTTCACTGAGCTGTTTTTCAGCTTCCCTGTTTTGTGTGGGACCTTCAAATCCAAACCCAAACAACCGGAGAACTCTGACGCCTCCTTAGATCCCAGCACCCTCATGGGACCAAGTCCACAATACATCCAGTTATGGATGTGGCCTCCACGTAGTACTTGTTTGTTGTTATTTGGAGTCAGGATCTTACGTAGCCCAGGATGGTCTTGAACTCCGTGTAACACAGAGACCTTGAGCTCCTGATCCTTCTGTCTCTCCCTCCTGGTGCTGGGATTACGAGAGTATACCCCCCTGCCAGGTTGATACTACGCTGTCTGCCAACTATGCTGCCTCTGTACCCCTTAACTCGTTTAATTATTTTTACTTTTTCTGGTTTTTGTTTTTGAAATGTCTATTTCTCATACCTGTTTTGGAAAAGATGAGCTGCAGAATGAGAGGCCTCCGGGTGACAATTCCTGATCCGCGTGGAAGGAAGTCCCTGGAGAAGAGAAAGCAACAGAAGTGACTCACAGTCCTACTAGAGAGGCAGGACATGTGACCACAGGCACTGAGCAACTTGCAAATGTCAGCAAACACACCAACCCCAACTGCTCCCCACCCTACCCCTACCCCTACCCCCGCCCAGCCCTCAGGCTATGGAGCGTCTTTGGAAGAAGGTTCAGGACTCAGAGATGTGTGGACAGAGTGTTTGTGCTCTAGCACTCCTGCTAGGCCCTCTTAGTATTGTATTCAGACAATGTTCCCCAGAATAAAAAGACAGGCCCAGGAGACTAGGGAAGATCAAGTTCAAGGCTAACCTGAGCTAAAACAACCAACCACCAGCAACCCAGGACACTGAAGGCGGAGGCAGGCAGATGGGAATACATAGCAAGATGCTGTCTCAGATAAAATAAGGGCTGAGATGTGGCTCAGTTGTTAGAGTGCTTGCCCAGCAATGTAAGAGGCGCTGGGTTGGATTCCCAGCCCTGACAGAAATGGTCATGGTGGCTAATGCCTGTACCAGCACATGGTGAGAAAAAGCATCCTGAGTTAGGTCATCATTATCATTGTCACATGACTGGTGGCTCATAGTTCTTTCTGTCTGGTGAATGGACATCTGTGTGTCTGTCTAGGCCAGGTAGATATAAGTGCAGCTATACTGGAAATCCCATGCACACCCTGTACAGGCATGTGGCCCAGGCTAAGATGGTCCACACATGAACTTGAATGTGAACCAGCAGAGCTGCCTCTTGTGATAAGGATCAGGGCAGAGGCTTCCTTTGGAGGAACAGACAGGAAGACACATGACAGGACTTTCTGGGGTGGCCAAAACGTCTTCAATGCTGATCTGTCCAGTGATCAGCAGTTTTTTAAAGTTATCAGATCAAGGTGTGTATTTCAAGTATATGTTTTACTATATCTACATTAAATCTCAGGAAAGATCACCAGCAGGAGGCAGAAGGATCAAAAGTTCATGACCAGCCTCAGCTATATAGAGAGCTCAAGGCTAACCTGGGCTACATGAGACCCTCCGGAAAAACAAAACAACTCAGATCTAAAGAATTTACAGTCAATATAAGATGGCAGTACTTGCATAGTGTGTGTGAGACCCAGATTCAGTCCTTTACATAGCACAAACAGAACTTGGGCTTCCAAAGACCCATGCGGGACTTCTGCTCAGGAGGAGGGAAACTCAGCAGCAGTAGGATCAGAATGTCAAGGTTGTCCTTAGCTACAGCACAGGCGCCAGGCCAGCCTGAGCTACATCAGCTAGGACTACAGCTCAGCAGCACAGCACCTGCCTAGCATGGGCAACTAATGGGCTCATCCCCAGCACTGCAACAAAAGGAATTAAAAGACAGGAGAGGGGGTGAAGGTGCTTTTTTACCAGACAGGCTGATGACTGAATCCAATGCCTAGGACTGGCATGGTGAGGAGAGTGCCAACTAACAGGTGGACTTCTGACCTCCATACAGATGCACATGTGCACATACACACATGAAATGCATGAAATGTAACCTGTTAAGTGTTTCACAGAGTAAGTTAAAAAAAAAGCTCAACGACCCAGCAACAGGGGCTAGTCAATACCAATAGTCCATCCAGGGGCTCAGGAAGCCAGACACATAAAAGAAAAAGAGCCTTTTATCTTCTCACAAGGAACTTCCCCCCAGGTGGACGGAGTAGAGAGGTTATGTTTTGCTATTAAAGAGAACACAAGTGAACTTCAGCGGAGCCCACGAGGCTGGGTGCCACCAAGAGGAGTCACCACCACCTGTTCTGAAACATTGCATGTCACAGGGTGCTGATTCCAAAGGGACTTTGTAAAAACAGTTATGGTCTCCAGATGAAGGTAGCATATGCCTTTAATCTCAGTGAGTTCAAGGCCAGCCTGGTCTACAAGTGAGTTCTAGGACAGCCAGGACTATTATTACACAGAGAAACCCTGTCTCAAAACAAACAAACAAAAAAAAGCTTGGTGTGTTCAAGGTCATACCTAGCTACATAGTGAGTTATGGACCAGCCACAAGTATCTGAGACCCTGTTTCAAAAGTCCCAAACTAAGTCAATTCATTAATTTAGTTAAATACATCATAGGTATTGTGGAGCAGCTAATGCAGTGTGACAAGTGAGGAGCAGAGCACTTTGCATGGACTCACTGATTTAACTGCGATAAGATCCTGCCACATGGCTCAGTTCCCCATCTCACAGAACTGCAGGATGCAGAGACTGGGCCCTGCCTAAGGCTGCAATGCATCAGCAAAGACAGCAACTTAAAAGTGAACCATGCCAGGTGATGGTGGCACACGCTTTTAATCCCAGCACTTGGGAGGCAGAGGCAGGCAAATCTCTGTGAGTTCGAGGCCAACCTGGTCTACAGAGTGAGTTCCGGGACAGGCTCCAAAGCCACAGAGAAACCTGTCTTGAAAACAAACAAACAAAAAAAGATTTATTTTTATTTATTATGTATACAGTGTTCTGCTTGCATGTATACGCACACCAGAACAAAAAAAGAGAGTGAACCACACACATGAGGTCCACTTGAAGGCTCTGACCACCAGGTCCCAGAATCTCAGTCCCCACCCCACAATGCAGGCTCTCAGTGGGGGATTCTATCACTGAGCCACACCCTCTGCTTCCAAAACCAGTAACCACTGGCATGTGTTACAATGGCTTTCCACCAGGGGCATCTGAGTTGATAAGACACCCTGAGGACAATGGTGATGCCTGAGATATCAGCCTCTGACCCAGACAAAGGACAGGGAGTTTCAAATAGAGACATGTGTGATGTCAGCTGTGACGCCCAGGACAAGCTCTAGTTCTTACAAGAAAAGGCTGGAGACTTGGTGGCCAATAGGGAGGCAACAAAGAGGTTACTGGTCCTGGAGACTGAAGGAAGAAAAGGCTAACTAGGAGATGGCCAGTGATGTCACAGGCCAGACTGGGCGTGAGCTAGCAGTCCAGAACTACCGCACTGCTGCTTCCACAGCCCTGGAACTGAGTGCATAGTACCTGATGTGGCTGGGCATCCCCCACCTTAAATGCCTTAGGGGTTTGGTGTAGAAAAGCCTAGTCAAGATTATTTCCATGGGCCAGGGAAATGGCTAAGGATGTAAAGGTATCTACTGCCAAATATGAAGACCTGAGTTTCACATCATAGAAGGAAGGACAGAACTGACTCTGGAAAGTTGTCCTCTGGCCTCCACTTGCATGCCATGCCAAGTACAGCCCATCCCCCCAAACACATAAGTAAATAAATGTGCTTTAGATTTTTCCTGTTTGCTGGAGTTGGAGTAATAGCTTAGTGACTAAGAGCACTGGCTGCTCTTCTAGAGGACCTGGTTCAATTCTCCAGCACCTACATGGTGGCTCACAACCATCTCTAACTCCAGTCTCAGGGGATCCAACACCCTCTCTGACCTCAAGCACCAGGCACATAGGTAGTAAGTACACTGACACACATGGAGGTAAACACTCAGACACACAAAAATAAAAATAATCTTTAAAAATTGTCTTTCCTGGATAGAACAACAGAACACATCCTCTCCCACAAATGCCAACTGTCCACAGCCGGCAATGGAGATGGCCTCTAGCTTCATCTAGTTCTTCTTCCCCAGGCCACCCACTTCCCAAGGCATGAGTCCCTTTCTTTGCTGTTGCTATGATACTTCCTAGCATTCTGGTTTCCCACTGAGCCAGTTCTGTGCCATGTGATGTGGGTTCACACTCAGGTCTGGGTTTCCTGGTCACTAAAACTTTGCCAACTGTGGGGGATGGGGAAGACTCCGGCTCAGAGACACCCACACCTCCATATGTAAGCACAGGATCCGTCTCCACTCTTCTGTGTCTGCTACAGTGATAGCGCACGGTCAGTTCAGTGTAAAGTGTGCCAGGTGGAGCTGTCGTCCTGCTTCCTTTCTGATTCTCCCAAGAGCTGGGGTTACAGGTGTGCACTATCACACCTGGTTTATGTGGTGCTTACGGACCCTAACACTAGGGTGCATTCTAGGCCAGCAGTCTACTGACTGAGCCACAAGCCAACCCCTCAACCACACACATTTCTCAACAAAGACCTCCAGAAAGTGCCCCCCCCCAAGTGTTGTGCCCACTCATAGCTGCCAATCCAGTCCCAGTCTCCAGACTATGTAGTCCCCCAGTGGTCCTCTGAACCCTTGGCCTTCGCAGAGGTTGTTCCTTCTGCCAAGAAATCCCTCCCTAGGGAACTGCCCACCTAGCAATTAGCAATGGTCAGAGGCTAGAGAGCTTCAGCCCATCCTTCCCACTCCAGAAGTCTCAACCTCAGATGGAGAGTAGGAAATCGGCCCTGTAACAGAACAGAGCTGCACTTGATCAGGTCAATAGCAGCCTGAGACCAGCCTCACAAATGGCAGCTATAACCCAGGTGTATTGAGACAGAAGGCACACAGGCTCTTGGGCTCAGCAGATGTCTCTGTGGGCTGTATCAGGCCCTCTCTGGGCAGTAGCTCAGTTACCTATGGGATAGAGGGTCATCCCCTGTCCACAGGACTAGTGACAGGTACTTTGTGAAGAGCCTCTGCCCCCTGGTAGGCTGCAGTAGGGCTCTAAGCCTTATCATTCCCTGGAAGATGACAAGGGCTCCTGGGTGTGGACAGGGAAGAAGTAACACAATGACAGGTTTGTTTATTTTCTTCAGTAGAAGAGAGCTTGGCTCCACCCTGAGAGTGAAGAGGGTGGGGACAGCTGTGTGACCCAGCAACTGGAGGCTGGGTCTCCAGGCCTTCTAGGGGAAGGGAAGCCAGACACAAGCAGGAAAGGTTGAACCAGCAGTCACTACCGAAAGTAGCCCTGCTCTGTCAGGATACAGGTAAAGGCCCTGGGTGAAGACCCCTTCCTGGTCACCCTTATTCCCAAAACCTTATAGCCTGAAGCTACTAGATTAAAGGTCATACCAGATCAGATCCACCTTCTAGCCCTCTGGTGATGGGGGTGGGGGTGAACTGGGTGGTGTGTCTCTCAGGCTCCCACCTTCCTATGGCCTACTGAACTCTGCACAACCTGCTCCTGTCAACTCCTGC